TTTTTGATTCCATAGAAGTTTGATTTAAAGTTTCATCATTTCTGCTCCATGCCCACCCTGGAGCCCTTTGAAGAGAGATACTTTGTAGGGGAACCCATTCACCCAAACATCTCCAGGATACAGGAATGGTGTACACATATTAATGAGTCATTGTAAACATCTATTAGGTCTTCTGTTTTTCCACCCTAATTAGGTGAAGCATCAGAGTCTAATGGTGATGTTGAAATTTTGACTAACTGATTGGAAGTGTGATTGAGTGTTTGTAGTGTATATAAGTATTGATATGACTAGTCAATTGATTAGATTGGCCCTTCTAGCCCACGTAAGGGCCAAAATGTAGTGCTGTAGCCAATGACCTTTCAAATACCCAGGATCATCAACTGCTCAGCTACCAGGATCTTATCCTCAGGCCTCACAGGTTACCACTTATGGCAAACAAGTGGACCCATTCAAAGGAAAGTCATATCCCTCTGCAAAGGTGCAACTGATGTATTCTACTGTCACAACCAGCCGGGCAATTATAAAACTGAGAGTCAATTTATTAATACTCTTGTTATATCTGGACATGTGTACTCCACAAGGATAAAAGGACACTAATTTATTTTTATTGAAATTAAAATTATTTTCTAATATACAGGGATTTTCTTTAAAAAGGAGTAATTATTGAAGAATTCTAAAATAAAATAATCTATATTATATCCTAGTAATTTTAAAATACCAACTGAAATGTACATGGGATCAATACTACCATACACTGTTTCTTTTACTATTGGAAAAAAATAGAAATAAGACAAAAGAAAAGGTTTTTTCTTTTGAAGACATTTGGTGCTATGTAAACATGCAATGAGAATCAATAAACCATATTCATGTTGTTATCCTCAATGCTATTCAGAAAGCAATATTGGTAAGCAACTTTTTGCTATTTTAAAATGGGAGTGTCCTCATTCTATACATAACTGCAAAAATCAAAGAATCAAATGAGATCATATAGAGAATTAGTTTTTGCAAACTGGCACAAAAAAGCAGTTTTCTGGCAGCTTTGTTCAATGCTTAAGCTCTCTGATATTGTTATGGGGAAACACACCTATTCTATAGTTAATAGACTCTCCCACCTAATATAAGTAGGAGTAGTAAGGGAAATGACGGTCAGTCGATGTTGGACGACAGTAGTCGAATACGAAAGTGTCAGCAACCACAGCCAGATTACTCTGTGTAATACCTATTATATCAAGTTCCTAACGTTTTGTACGTCAAACCTATTTTAGGACCAATTTAGTACAAATACCAGCCTCCACTGCGAAATCACTCCACAACAGATATGAAAAGGCAGATTTTAATGAAACCTATCAATTCAAAAAATCTTTCTAGGTCTACATTTTAGCAGTAATTTGACTCACTTTTTACTTTGCAGAATAAGTAAAGATTTTATACCACAAAACAAAAAAATATTCTTCCCAAAAATAAGTAGTTGAAACATTTTTTTTTTTTTTTTATTTACAGAAAATGTGACATTCATCTTTAAATTTGTGATTAACAGATACAAATTTTGATAAATTAAAATTCTCTAGTTAACTTGAAAGTTACTCATGACTTTCAATAATTGATAAAACTCACACTATACTGAAATATTGCATTTATGGACATCTATTGATATTTATTTATAAAATGCTTTTAAAGAAGTAAGCAGCATGTGGAAATTTATCTATGATGAACACTACATCTTCTAAAGACAGCCAAACTGAGCTTTCAGTCCTAATTTTGCTTAAAGTTTTTACTTGCTGTTAAGATTCCATTATTTCAAATTTTACTGTGTTATGAATAAAATTTTGAGTTGAACATATTTATAAAATACTAGCAGTAGAGCCCGGCGTTGCCCGGGGATGTAACAGTAAGAGATAGATCAAGTATCGACTATCATAACGACTGAAAAATAAAATCGACAAAGATTATTGTTTAAGGTTGACGGACACACATGTCTTAATTAGTTGTTTTTTTTTTTGTTTTTTTTTACGAATTGGTCAAACCCAAACAAAAACATTGTTTACAATCGTTATGAGTCTATCGATTGGTGAATAGAATTTTATTATAAACAATTGTCTTGTAAATGGAATTTTTAAAGCATTCTGAATGTAAATAAAGAAAAAAGTGTGCAAGACAATAAGAAATACTACCTGCCAAAAAAAAAAAAGTAGATGTTTGTTTTATCGGCTGAAAAATGTAAGAAATCCGATTCCATATATAAAGGAACACACACACACACAAACAACCTCGGTTTTTTAACCTAAGTCACTCCACGGAATCGCTAAAACAGAGCATAGTCTGATGAAAAAGACGCTAAAGTTTATGAAAACAAAATTTTATCGTCAAAATGCTTATGTTTTTATGAAGAGGATAGACTAAATTTTTTTTTAATTATTTTTTAAAATTTTTCCATCTTTTTAGAATATTCTAAATTTTGATTAAAAAAAACCTTGTTTCTCTTTTGTCGCAACATGGGGTAGTAAATAACATAGATAATTTTTAGCGCGTTTTTTTTTTTGTATTTACAAACATTCATTTGGAAAATCTTGCAAAAATAAAAATAATTGTCAGATGTTAATGAAACTTTTTAGAAACTATTCACAGATGATCGAAATTATTATAAATATGTTTTTTTTTTATTAAAGTCATGGCAGAAATATTTTTTTTTATATTTATTAACACCCCCATAACTAATTTTATGAAAAACTCTAGAAATTCGAGACCATCGGTTTTAGTGATTACAATAGTTAAAAGCACAAGGCTTTGAAGAATGCAAATCATGTTTTTTTTTGGGGGTTTTTTTGGCCAACGTACCTGAAAATCAGCTGTGAATTGTAACATACAAAACTCAATAAAACAAATATATTATTTAGTTTCAAATGCTTTTATTTGTTTTAATTTGTTTTTATGAATATGGACAATATTTTCTGGAAGCAAAAAATTTTTGAATTTTTAATACAATTATTTCTTATTTCTTTAATTTTAAAAAGATTTTGAAAAAATATTTTAACATTAGTTAAATGCAACATCAACCTTTCAAAATGTCCATGTGAGATTGCCATTGTCTAGCGCTTTGAAAATTGTATAATTTGGACCAATCAGATTAGCCATGGTAATTAAGAAATGTAATTTTTGTGTTTATAGTCGGACACTAATTATCAAGTACGGAAGACCAACCAGAATACAATTTAGTTGCATTATTTGAGTTCAGCATTGTTCTCCGCTGTTAAGCCCTTTACTTTTGCGAAACACGTATGGAGAAGTTAATTTGAGTTTTCAATTTCAACTGAGAAGGGTACGTACAAGTAACAGTATCATCTTATGAAATTTAACTACTGCATAACTTTAATTTATATGATCTTATTTTTATATTAATCTCAGTTATGACATTTTTCCATAAATGAAATATCAAAATTAATAATAAAATGAATGGAAATACAAATAACACAGTAAAATGTAATAAATGTACATAAAATTATAGTATTTTATATACACTTCTGATAAAATTTCATAAAAAAGGTACCTAAATTAATTAGATACCTTTTTCTTATGAAATTTAATCTCACTATTAACAGTCTTATTTTTTAATTTCTTTATATTTTCCATAAAGCATCGTAAACGTAAAAATGAAAGCTAAGTACAAAAAAAAAAAAAAAAAAAAAAATTAGTGCGCTGAAAGTTTTCCTTAAAAGTAACGAGGTAAATAATTTGTTCACTTAAATAATTTCACTTCCTTCCATCCGTAGAAAGAATTACCCTCCCGTAAGTTATCTAAACGTCATGAATGTGCCTTTCGTCAATCGTCAAGCGATGCGAAAGGTTATGACCTGCTTTGTTTTATTTTCAAATTACATTTTTCGGTGCAGAAGCTAAGTTAAGCTTGGTTCAAAATATTTTAAATAAACAGTATAATATCTGTTTTTATTAAAATCAGTTTTGAAAAAATGATAATTGACTTTTAAAAGAATATCAAAGTAAGATTTTTTAATCTTTTTTATCAAATCGAAAAAAATGATTGAAAATGATTATCTGTCCTTTTTTTTTTTACCAAAAAAAAAAAAAAAAAAAACAATTTTTTAACGAAAATTTCAGACGTGCTAGGAACGATTAAAAATGTAAAAAAAAATACCCCAAAAATACTTTGATCTTTCCTCTTTAATAATAATATGAACATTAGACGATAAAATTTTGTTTTCGTCAAGTTCGGCGTCTTTTTCATCATGCTATGCTCTTTTGTTTACATTTTCGTGGGTGAGTTGTCCCCCTTCCATTCTCACGATGTGTCTTAATCGTGTTTTCAAATTGATTTTCTTAAAAAACAACAGTGTTTTTCCCATTTTCGTCGCCGTTGGAACCACCAAAAGGTAATTTTATGTAGTCCTGTGAAGTTTTGTTGAAATCGGCTAAAAAATGTAGGAAATTCGATCCAACATATAAACGTTACAGACACACACACACACAACCTGCATTTTATAATAAGTAAGATATGAAGTTTACTAAACTGATATTTCATATGTTTATAGCAAGAACTTGAAAAGTTTAAGGGTTTTTAAAGGCTTCTATTTTCAAGCTTTTAGATAAGACCTGACAGCTTCAGTTTTTGCCTTCAAAACCTTAATGACATGATCTGTAAATAAGTTCACAAATTTAAAGAGTATATATTCAGGGATTTTTTCCTGTGTATTCATGACAGTTGAATTCAGCTCTTAGCTGTTACCAGCATACACATTTCTTTCCATTTTTCTAAATATTTTCTATGAGACTGAATTCTGAAAGCAAAACGGGCCTTTTAAAGCTTTTGTAATCAGGCCTGTTAAGATTCAAATACTTTGAAACTTTCAAGTACATGTCTATTATATATTCAATTTTAACTATGTATCTCTTCTGACAGAGACAAGGACAAACCCAGGACCTTATTTCTGGTGTCAAATAAAATTAAAAAGAATAAACACACATACATAGAATTAAGTATTACTTACCTTGTGCAATTATTCTCAGTTTTTTGTATTTTATTTCCTCTGAACCAAACTGGCAGACCATCAGACCCTCATATAATTTAGCAAACTGAAATAAAAAATTTGATATTTACTTGATAAAATAGATCTTTATGGTTTGAATAAATGAATAGACGAAGAAGTGTCACTTACTTGTATAGCATCAGAGAAACTAATTAAACGAAGAGAGACATTTTTATAGACAAGAACCAAAGCATTGTTGGTAATAAATGTTCATATATAGTAGTTTTTGATTTACTTCTCTGTTGTTACATTGGTTTTGGAGTACCAAGCAGGAGCAATCATTGTGATTGTTAGAATTAAAAAGAACCAGAGGCAGCAGTAGAGAGAAAAAAAAAAGTTATACTCCAGTGAAATAATGAAAGGAAACAAACAAGGCTTACAGACCCAGATATAATTTTCCATCGGGCTAATGTCTGTTACAGGAATTGGTGGGTACATGCTATTCTTCATTCTTATTCACTTTATTTACTCTACAATAAGCTACAATTCTTACTGACAGTAATTGAGAATGTTACCAGAGAATATGAAATTAGAAACAAGGAGAGAAAGTTGAATTTAAAAGTAATATTTGTAAAAAGCTCAAAGAAAAAAAAGAGCTCAAAGAAATAAGTCATTGACAAATGATTCAAAGTTATTTAGAAAAACAATGACACACTGAAATAAAATGAAATATGAAAACTTTTTTTTTCCAGATAGCAATAATGAAGTGTAAATCCAAGTGATAAAGTTCCAAAGATTTTACTTTCTTTAATGCAAAATATTTTTTTTATTTGTAAAATAAGGATTATTATTAGGAACCATGAGAATTTTGAAAAGTATTTATGATTTACAAATATGAAGCCATTCATATTATAATTGATATTTATGGAATTATTTAATTTAGAGAAATATACAAACTTTGGAATTATTTTTTTAATGCAATATTTTTGCCATTACATGTAAAATTAAAATGTTTTATACTTTATACACTTTCAAATTGTATTTTGATAGGAATATTTTAAATATGTAATTACATTTCTCTTTAAATAATATTTTTTCATAAAAGTTATTAGCAAATAGTTTAAAAACACCACTTGAAATTAACTTGTAAATTTCTTTTATCAATAATACAAGTAAAATAGGTTGTTTATAATAATGTTCTAATAAAAAAGGTTATAGTGTGCAAAAATCAAATTTTTTTAGAGAATAAAACAAAGCTTGCACACAACTAGATAAGCATAAATGGTCATATGAAGCAATTGCTACTTACAATGATCATAAAAATTTACAACCTAACAGCTGGTTATTTGGACTGGTCTAGGTCTGCCCCAATGAGAAAAACCACTAAACAGAGAACAGAGGTACATTCACCAAATATCAATGAGCAACAGAAGAATGACTTCCATCAATATAAGATATGATGTAAACCAAAAATATTGTTCGAAAATAGGTGCATAAATTACCCTGCATTTATGGATAGTATATCAATCTATTGTATCAAATTCAAAAATTTAAGAATATTATTTATCTTTAAATAATTGATATAGGTAAGCAATATACACTGCATGCCAAATTATTATCGAGATAACTTTTTTTCTAATATTTCAAAAACCGTCCAATCAATTCACACAAAATTTCCATACACTGTTGGCAACACTGACCTGAAATTTTTGTACTGATCTGTGCAATGTAAACAAACTGGCACCATATTTGTTATCAGCACGGTGATTTGAGCGTGCCAAATTATTAGAAAGGTTTAGTAAAATTCCCAGAATTGAGCAAACAAAACATACATTAATGTTGCACGTGAATGTTTATGATCAAAAGAAGCTAATAAATAAGATAATCAAACAAATAATAACAGATACAAACAAAGGTACAGTTTTAAACAAATAGGGAATGTGCTTTCCCTGTTTTGAAATGACTTGAAGAAGTCGACGATCCATAGAATTTGTTAATTGTAGGATGTCATCTGCTGTAATGCCACAAGATATGTCAAGAATTGCTTTCCACAACTCAGCGTTGCTCCTGAATTGTCGTTTGTTGGTGTACAGTCTTCACTTCATGATGCTCCAAAGGTTTTCGACTGGGTTCAAATCCAGAGAATTTGCTGGCCACTTCATTTTTCGAGGTCCATTGAAGTTTAACTGTTTCAAATATTCAGTAGTCTTGTGAGCAGCATGTGAGGGAGCATTATCTTGCATAAAAACAATGGCCCTTCTGAAGGCAACTCTTTGCCTTTTCATCCATGGTTCAAGATGCTCCTTCATAAACGCTATGTATGCATCAGCAGTCATTTTGACACCATAATGGTATTCTCCATGGGCCCACCAATGTTTCTCTAATAATACCACCCCAGATCATTATGCCGCCACCGACTTGTTGGTGTCTCAAACGCTGATGGCAATTCTGTCCGTTCATTACCCAGCCTTTGCACCATCTATTTGGCCCATCAAGTGTTGCTAGATTTTCATCTGTGAACAAAACTATCAGAATTGGTTCAAAAATCAAAATTGTTAATATAGATTGAGTAATTTCAGACAGAAGTTACATATCAAAGTGACTAAACTTATTTTTCAAAATTGGATTTGGATATTTCAATCAGTACATAATACTGATTATTCGTGAGTAATGTCTTCATTTGATTGCTGTCAATGTTAGGTGTTTTAACAAGTCAACAGTCAACAACAAAACTTCAGTTACCAATATTCAAATGTTCAGTCACTCACAGTACTTTCTCCACCAACTTCTCAAGTTTTGATTTTTTTTTTCATTTCAGTTCCATTTTAATCTTTTCTTAAAATAAATACATAACATACCAGAATGATGTTTATTTTCTTCTGCCTTTAATGTTTGAAGCAATAAACAAAAATATGCCAGTTTTATATACCAACATGACAGCTGTCACAATACAATCAAAAGTAATCTTTTGTAGTTAAAATTAAATGTTTCTAATGACATCTAACAACCTAATGCACATCTCTGAAGTAAGTGGCCTGGAATATGTATGCGTATATATATATATATATATATATATATACATACATACACACACATACACTGCAGAATAAAGTAAAAATTTACAGTTATAGTTTATGAAATTACAAATTTACCATCTTAATGGAAAAAAAACAACTATCTTTAATTTTCTTTGTGAAGAAATATTTCTCTTTCTCTGGAGCTGCAATATGATGAAACTGTAGTAAGGATGCATGTGATAAAATTTTAGGAAAATGTGTCAAAAATTGTTATTATTGGTAAAGTAAGTTTTTTTTTGTTTGTTTTTATCAATCACAATATCATTAACAGATCCATGAGTAGTAATGTGATAGTTAAGTACTTTAAGAGAATATACAAAACATTAGGAAAACTAGTTATCAGTAAATACAACAGCACATAGGTGGGTGCTAAAAAGTTCTTTGCAACCAAGAAGGTATTTTAAAAAAATTGTGATGTTTGGTTATTAAAATACTGATTTGAGAAAGTCAGTCAAGTCAATAATTTTTCAGCATGCCTCATATTTTATAGTAAACAATATGTGTAGCAATTTAACCACTTCAGACAAAAAAGACTCAGTGAAACAAGCTTGTGTTGACAAACGATTCCTTTAAATTTTTGTCTACTTATTTTGTTGCTTCACTCTTCTTAATACAATAAGATAATAGAGGTGAAATAATTAACAATGAAAATTGAAATTCTTCAAAGCATACACCTGACATAGTAAACCAAGGAATCTTTAAAAATACTAAGAATATTAAGACTATATATTGCTTGGTACAATAAATAAACTTATTTTGTATATTATACTATGTTGTTTGTTTTTCTGATGGTCACTAGTTGTCGTGATGGAGGGGCATGTATGCATCAATGACTCAGAGCAATACAAATGTGAGTTTGTAAACATTTGGTAGAACCAGATTTAGTGTGACCAACCCCCAATGACCCTAATGGTTGAAGAAGTACATGATGATTACAACAGATTACAACAGTTAAATCTTTGGATGAAGAGGCCTACACATGATGGACATGCTACAGAGGGCGCTACTCAAAACTATAACTGAGACAGTGGCATTTTGTTGCAGCTTCATAATTGGATCCTGCATATCCTATTCTATATGTCCTGCAGATGAAGGTCATGAAATCAAGTGTGTGGTTCACTTCCTGGCAAGTTGATGTTCACCTTAAACAAATTCACATCGTCACTTTCTTCTACTCTGATTTTCCTTCACCTCCAACCAACTCTTGCAAATCAAAACAGCGATTGGGAATGTTTGACAAGAACAGGTTTTTATGAAGCTGGCTTACTTGGTCATCAATGCCATCAACATGAAGGAAGTGATTAGCACAGAAGAAATTAAATTCCAGATAAATCTGACGACTATTTAGTTTTATGTAAATTCTTGTAGCTTGTTCAATATGCAGTTATAATATATGAGGGCTGATTACAAAAAGTATCAGTACTGTTGCTATGAGAATGAAGCTAAAGTACACAGCGTGAAGCCACTTATCACTTATCACCTTGAACTCTGTTATACATGCACACTAAGTTATAAGATTCTCACTTGCTTGCATTGTTTATAGCAGTGCTTGGAAGGAAAAGTGTAGCATGTTCATCAGGGACCGTGGATTATGCAACAGTTTGTGGCCAAGTACAACATTCCCCAGGTATGCTACTGACCATATTCCTCAGATCTTGGCCCTTGTAATTTTTTCCACTTTCCATAAATCATATCTCACTTAAAAGGAACAAGATTTTAAGATGTTGAGCAAATCCAAGAGAACACAACAAGGTAGCTGCTCTCTATCCCAAAAAAATGAGTTCAAAAGAATGCTTTCATCAATGGAAACAACACTGGATAAAGTGTATGGTTTCAGAAGAGGACTACTTCAAAGGAGATTAAATTTTGAATTAATATGTATTGCAGTTTTATTTTTATAGTACCAGCCCTGATATTTTTTGATCAGCTCTCATTTTGAAGCATTTATAAATAGAGCTCTGAACTGTTTTCAGTTAGTTTAATTAACACAATATTCCTCAAGCAATGTGCAAGAAAAAAATTGTGTGTG